CCAACTGCCACAGGTATTCCAAGACCTGATGATGTCACCTGCACCTGAGCCTTCTGATTGGTCCATCCCTCAACATTCTGGATCACTGGGCTCATGCCAGCCAACGGCCACAACCAACCCACTCCTTTTCGTTGCTGACCTTTTAGGAGTTCTACAGGAACTCCCAGTACCTTCAGGGGCTCTGTAAGGAGGTTGGAGAGGGACTTCTCCCAAGGCAGGCAGGGACAGGGGGAATGGCCTTAAGCTTTTTTATTTAGATATTGGGAAGAAATTCTGGACTGCCAGGGTAGTGAGACACTGACACAGATTGCCCAGAGAAACTGTGGGTTCCCCATCCCTGGAGGTGTTCAAGGCCAGGCTGGATGGGGCTCTGAGTGACATGATTTAGTGGAAGGTATCCCTACCCATGGCAGCAGAGTTGGGACCAGAGGAGCTTTCAGGTCCCTTCCAAACCTAACTATGACTGAGTTGCCATGACACAAATGTGGTGGGACACTTCCACAGCTGGAGCACTGCAACTGAGGGCTACAAGACCTCAGTTCAGAAGAGGGAGGCTAAGAAGGGGGTGCGGGGAGGTTGGGGATTTCAGTGTTAGGAAGCTGCCCTGTAGGAGCATCCTGGAGCCACTCTGGCAGCCACTCTTGTGCCACCTTGATCCCACCTGAGCTGGGACCAAAGCATCTTTGCAGCAGCACACCCCACACTCACACAGTCAGACCTGGTTTCCTTATCAGCTCAACCGTGGGCTTCCCATAACAGAGTCACAGATCTCCTGGTCTGCAAAATAATTTGATCATGGTGCAATAACAAAGTAACAGCTGGAGCTGGGTGCCTCCAGCCAGGGACCCAGAACAAAGGAAGCCTTTTGAAATCAGATGGCAGTGAACAGGTCTAGTGTTTCCCCACTTAGGGTGTGGTCCAGCTTCTTCTACCCATGGCAAAATGCATCTGAGACATGCATGGAATAAGTCCTGTGGAAAACAAAGCAGAAAGTTTTGTGGAGGCCTTTGGAAGAGTAGAAGCCATGCACAGGCATAAGTTGTGATATTTTTGCTGGCCAGCATCTTTTTGATAGAGAAGTTTTACGGGAAAATGTTCATTCATTTTTACCAAAATTAATCAGGACAGAATTCAGTTTTGAAGAATATCTCATTTGGACTTGAAGCTGTGAGGTTTCTCTTCATATTTCTGATTCTCTGCTTCCTTTCTCCTTTGAAAACATTTTTTTTTTAAAGAGAAATAGATGTTAATAATGAGAGAGAGAAGAATTAAAATGTTACAAGCCTAGACATATTATTTTTTAATTTTCATTTTATGAAAATGCACAGCAGTGAATTTTCATCTCAATTAAAACTTCATAAAATCAAGAAAATTGTTTCTACCTCCTCTCTTAATAAAGGTGCAAAAGTACTTCATAGAATATGGAGTTTTTTGTCTCCAAAGAAACAGAGATCTGTCTTTCCATTTGTGTGAAAGAAAAAAAAAAAAAAAAAAAAAAAG